CTCCATCCTGCTGTCCTCTCAGAGACGTCCACACAGAGACGGCTGAATCTAACAGACTGGTGCCACTGTGGCTTCGGTTTCGACTCCCTCCCCCCTTCGCCTCCCCCCGTCCAATTCTATTGGATATGAAATTAAAACAGAATCTGAACAAAAAACACTTTAAAATAGACAAAAATAAAATGAACTCATGTTCAGGTCCATGGCAACTTAAACTACTTGTAGTGGCACCAAACCTCCTTGATAAAAAGCCCATTAAATGTAACTCATAAAAACTGATACAGACCCCCCTCACCCCACTGATGACCTGTGACCTAGATAATTGTACAAACGATAATAAAACAAAAACGTCTCCATTTTATTATTAGTTGACAAACTAATTTTAAAGATGTGTTACAGTGCCCTCTGGTGTTAACAGTACGCTAATACAACAAAAGACATCGCTTTAAAAATAACATTTTAATTAGAAGTAAAAGACTGGGTAAAAAATAGGCTGAACGATAAACGGTTGCCGCGAGAGATTTGAGGTTTAATCGGCAAAATTAACTGAATTAAATTTTTATTCCCTTGTCAAACAGTGACAAAAACAGATGTTCAACATTAATCCACGATTGTCATACTGTCTCTGTTTTCTTGCAGAGTAATTTTCCTGTTGTACCGGAAATATATAAAGTAATTCTTCTTAGTTTGATAATTTTTATTATATATAAAGTAATTCTTCTTAGTTTGAACGTTATCCTGCAATAACCGTTCCTTTTCCCAGTGTCCATCGCCGCTGAACTGGAGTGTGGCGCCACCCAGTGGGGCGGCGACTCACCCCTTGAAAACACCTCACCGTGTCACCCCGTAAATAAAACTAAAACTAAAAAAAATCTTATTGATAATTTATGCTGAAATGTGTCACTTTATATTTTTGCATTGATTTTAAAATCAAGAGTAAAACGTCGAATCTGCGACAGAGAAATGAAAAAAAAAGTGTCTATTGCTAAACAGGAAGCAGGTAACCACGTGTTTCCGGAAGTAGCTGCAGTAGCAAAAGCAGCATTAAGTTGGGAAGGTTTTCATTTAAGGACGTGAAAACAATATAGACGTTACTTTGATAAAATCTTTCCCACGTAATTTCGACTGAAAGCTTGTCTTTCAAACATGTCGTCGTTCAGGAAAGCGTTGAAATCTCGACAGAGAAACCACCATGAACGATCTCAGGTAAACTGCGCATGTTCAATTCAAAGAACTTTATCACAGATTAAAAACAACATCGGAATGTGTCGAAGTGTAGTGAACACAGAATCAACAAGGAGTCTTTTATTTTCAATTTTCTCCCGTCAGTGCAAAAGTGGAACAATATTCGTTTTTTTTTTCATTTAAAAAACGTGATTAGATTTTGTTATTAATTCACAAAAAAAACAAAAAAAAGTTTGGAATTTTATATAGCCAACTGTATCATATTTACTGATTGTAATCCACAAGGGAATATGAGTTGACAGTATTTGGTTGATGTGTCAGTGAGACCCAAAATAAATACAAAAGTCATGGTACTGGTTGATTGGTCTTTAGAGCAGAGTTCTTAAATCTGTCAAAGTTTCTGTTCCTGATAATGTCATTAAAAGTTCTACTTCACCGTTTCTTCTTCCTGCTAGCCTGGATTCAGGAAACATTTAGGATTACTGGAGAAGAAGAAGGACTACAAGCTCCGTGCAGAGTGAGTCAAACTACTGTCGTCGTCAGGCTCTGTTTGGAGTTGGACGGATTTTGACGAAATATTTTTTAAAAATAAATATTATTTTGTTTCTTACAGTGACTACCATAAGAAACAGAACACGCTCGCTGCCCTGCGGAAGAAGGCCCTGGATAAGAACCCAGATGAGTTCTACTTTAAAATGATCAACTCCAAACTCGACGTAAGACGAGCAGCGTCAACGCTGTCCCTGTGTTTATCAACTGAAACCTATTGTAAAAGTGAATGAGTGTTTATTGATAAGCCGTGTAACTGGTTTGACACATTTCTGATTTGATAAGGATGGAGTTCATGTCGCAAAAAAAGGACAGGAGGAGGAGGTGACGGAGGAGCAGAAGAAGGTGATGAGGACACAGGACATGAAGTATGTGGAGATGAAGAGGACCGCAGAGGCAAAGGTCAGTTTCTGTTTCATATCTGGTCCTAAAATGGATATGTATAGAATTTTATTTATTTTTTTTACAATTTGTCTTTTTCACTTTTCTTTGACATTAAGGATTTAATTTTGTAACCTTTCTTTACTTTCTGTTCCCAGAAAATTGAGAGGCTAAAAGGAGAGCTCCACCTTCTGGACGCAGACAGGAAACAAAATAACAAGCACACATTTTTTGTTGATTCAAAGAAGGACGGTACGTGCAGGCAAACGGCCGACTGTGAGGCTAGGACGGAGGTCACCTCGGACCAACACGACCTTCTCAAACAAGTCTTTCTTCTGTTTGTCCTCAGTGCGGTCCTTTGATCTGGCCACACACCTGAACACAGCGCCTGAGTTGGTGGACCGGGTTTACAACAGACCCACTCTGGAAACCCTGGAGACCAAACGCGTCCAAGGAGCGACAGATGCTGCCAGTGTGAAGGTCTCCTTGCGGCCAGAGTAGATTTCTTTTTTTTTTTTTTTTCTGTGGAAGTTCACTGACTGACTGGAAATGTTCTCTTTACTCCGTGCTGGTAGAAAATGGCCAAACAGAGGAAGCACCAGTACAAGATCCTTTCCCAGAGGATTGACAGAGAGAAGAAATTATTCGTCATCAGTCAGAAGATCCAGGCGCGCAAGGATCTACAGGTGAGGAGGAGGAGAAGTTCATGGTTCTTCATTAGAGTTTGGTTCACAGATGTATTCATGGTCTTTTCTTCCTGTGTCCACCAGGACAAGAGCAAAAAAGTGGTGAAGGTAAAGAAGGAGACGCCAAACGCTGCACCCATTTACAAGTTTGAGCTCAAGAGGAAACGGTGATTGGAGTAAAACTGAACCACATGGAAAAACGACGACGATCTCATGAATTAAAAACTGCAGACATGGAAAATTTGTTCTACACTTGTTCTGATAATGTTTTTTTGTTTGTTTTTTTTACATATCAAAAACTGCAATGATCCTACAAATAAACAGAACATACTCACAGCAAAGTTGTTTTCATCCTCTAGATAAGTGATTCTAAACTGGTGGGTCATGACCCAAAGGCTGATCATGGACTAACTACAGTGGGTCATGGGTCTTTGACAAGGCAAAAAAAAAAAGCAGTCTCGCCTGTTCACACTCCTTATCACTAGGGGTCAATAATAACCAAAAAGTGACAGTGCTAGCAGAATTAGCTTGGCTAAGACTTGGAACTTAGCACCACCTACATGTCAGAGCAAACACAGGACACCATAGGAGTGAGACAAAACCACAGACTTTCCTCTGACCTCAGGACAACTTCTAAGACCAGCATTAAAACACGGCAGCACAGACGGACACAGTCCAACTGGGACCAGTACAGAGAACTTACTATTAAGATAATTGATCAGACAAAGTAGTACTTCAACTGGTATTTAATTTAAGTTCTAAAAAAAAAATCCCACAAACACAAACTCAAAAAGTGCACACGGACAATATACCATTTAACCAGTAGGTGGCATTGGAGTTCTGCGCTGAACTCCACTAAATTTGAAAACACATTTGTGGGTTGAATTTTGTGTGGTACAAATACAGTGTATACACTACAGGTATATGATTTGAAGGCTATGGTCAAGTTTTATTCTACAAAAGATGGTGTTGTTTCCTCTAAGAATAAAAATAATATATATATTATATAATAAAAAGAAGATTTAAGAAATATTACTGTGATTTATGTCACTCAGTTTTTAAAGCTGAAAGTTTTTTTTCCTAAGGATCTATATAAATTATACCATTCTAAACAGTATCCATCCATCCTGGTCCAATTACTGTCTGTTTAAGACTATAACTTTAAATGTGACCTTTAACCCCCAGCCCTGGACGATGTTATGGGCGGAGCAGCCAAAACAACCCCTCTGCCCTGGTTACATAGGTCAAACTTTAACAATTACTGCATTATTTTTCAGTGACTTATCTGGACAGATGATGGTGAGGTTCCTGTTTTGTTTATAAGACAAAAATCTCATGTACCCAGCTCCAAATACTTGAGAGATCATTCTTGGACCTCTATAAAGGTCTGTTCATTAAAAAATATGACTTGGCTGCAGATGTTTGAATAATATAATTATGTACCAGATATAATGTGACTTTAAATTATTACATTTTGGTTTAACTTCTATATAAACACTAAAACTATCACTGTGAATATGAGACTAAACAAAATACAGATTTTATTTTTTTACTCTCTGGCGAGTCATTAAAACACCCTGAAGATCAGATTTACTCTCTGGTGAGTCATTAAAACACCCTGAAGATCAGAAATACTGATGAATAAAAGAAGGAAAAACTCCACAGATACATGATGCATTGGAACGACGGTAACTTCATGTTTTCACGCTCAGGGTTTTTCACAGGCAGCCGAGTTCCATACAAACATGTACCGCACAGACTCTCCACCGGGGCAGAGACGCCGTGAGCGCAGCCTCTGAAGGACACACCTCTGTTGCTGCCCTTGACTTAGGATTCAGCACACACCTCCAACAAAAACCCCTGTCACACGTCACAGCAGGGCACACACACAGCTGCAGCTAATAAAATTAGCCATGATTTAGGTGTCGCTTAGCAAACATTGATAATAATGATATGGCCGGTGTCTGCTCATTAGCTGCCTTTAATCAAAACTCCCAATTATTCATTTTATTAGCCGCAGCTGTGCTAACACACACCTCCGTTCAAGGCTCCCGTGAGGCTCGTGAGGAATATTTGTCAGAGCGAAAACCTCCCTCCGAAGTTTAGCCTTGTGCTGGGTGTTAGCTTTCGAACGTCGTACAACTTCTGAGACACTTCTTCAAGATTGTATATACACTGGTACGGTACAGTACAGTACACTCTTCAAGATTGTATATACACTGGTACAGTACAGTACGGTACGGTACAGTACTGTACCACATAACTAGGTTCAAGTCTAAAGCTATAGTTGTGTAACAAGCCACTGAGCAGAACCAGAACAAGTACCAAAGGTTTAGTCCTAAGATAAAAAAAGAGCAAAATTATAGTTATTTTTAAAACTTAATTGGTGTTAATTTTCATTAATAATAAAAAAAAGAAAATAAAAATAACACATCCAGAATCTTTATCAGTTTTTATCATTTCTGGCACAACGATGCACAGACTCCAGCCCAGTAGGTGGCGGTAATGCAATAAAGTTGAAGCCTCCGTTTTCTCTCGATGTGTGTGTAAATTAGAGGTGTGTATTAGCAAGAAGAAATATCGTGGCAGTGGACATTTTTAATAAATTAATTTCACAAATGATGTCAAAGCTGCCACCTTAAATGACCACATAATTTAGCCTTAATATTGTGGGGGTTTTTTTTTATCGTTTTATTTCTCCCTCAACCTCAGCGTGCACGAGGGAAACAAAGTAAACGTGTGTTTACTTCCCTCAGATTATAGTTTGAAATGGACTGGAACCCTGGTGCCTCACCGCGAATCACAGTGACCCGGGCTTGATTGATCACTGTGGTGGCAGCAGCTTCATAAACAGGGCCCATCCATCAGCCTCTCCTGGGAGCGACTGCCGTGGATGAGGGAGAGTGGAGGGGAGGGAGGGGGGAGGAAGAGAGGCAGACAGAAATGTCACCAGATACAGGGGAAGGTGGAGAGAGTGAGAGAGTGAGTGAGAGAGAGAGTGAGAGAGAGTGACCAGAGACCTTGGTCCAAACTCTGCTGACCACACAAAGTTGGACCTGGAGTCCACAAGAGGCCAGAGAAGAAAAACAGTGACGGTGTTGTTTTATTAATTTCAAATAAAGAAAATCAAAAATCAAGTGGACAGTTTTAGTTCTTTTAACTGGTTAGTTAAGATTAAGTTGAGTTTAAGTTCCATCCTCGATCGATTTTTCATGGAAATTAAGGTTTTCTTTGTCATCAGTTTCTACCCGTCTACATTGTTTCTGTTGTCACAGTTAATATTTTTCTCTTGTGGTTCTGGATCGGACTGGTCTGTGACAAACAGCTGGTTCTGAATTCACATCTTAAATGTCCGATAACATTTAAACTAGTTTTTAGTAAATATAATAATTATTTAGATTAAAAAAAATTCATTTTCTGAGGCCTCCCTAGTGCCCCCTGGGGGCTGTGGCCTCCATTTTGAAAACCACTGCACTGACATCCAGACTTTAACAGAGACCTGGGCCCAGAGCTGGTGCTGGGACCAGAAATCGTCTCAGTATCTCAGACATTACTAATCGACCCAAACTCTCATATAATAAAAAATAAATAACAATAAATGTCCTCAAAATATTTTTTTACGTTAACCTCCGTGGCTCTGACTTCACCGCTGACCATTAAATGTCACAACTTTGTAGTGGGCGCTACGACGGTGACGAACATCCACCGCCCGACGCTCCATCGCCCCCTCCGCCCACTGACACCACCCTCCCGCCCTCTCCGCCTCCGCTACTGCGTCACAGCACCAACAGTGTGTGTCTGTGTCAGGCCCACGGGCCCACCGTCCGTAAGCCCAGGGAGTGGAGATCATCGAGGAGAGCCCAAGGGTCAAAACACTGTGTGCGCAGTTTTCCGGGACCCCCTGAGTGAGCGTCTGACCCCGGCACAGACGACCCACTGTTCCTCCTCAAGCCAGCCTTTCATTCCCCTCAGCAGTGGGACTCTGAGGGGTGGGTTCAAGGTCCAGCTCCTGGTTTTAAAGACAGGCGTTCTTCTATTGTCAACTGAAGTTAACTCTCACTCTGAAGTCAATAACTCACCCTGTTTACTAAGAGGTTCATATATTTATCGGCAATTCTGCGATGATTGTCTTGCGATAAACTCTAATTACATTTATTATATTATTATATAGACAGGACGACAGGATGCACCACACTGTCACATGACTTTCGGAGGACGCTCGGACCCCCTCTAATCTCAAGTACTGCCCGTCTAACTGCCCCCTCTCACAGACACCACCGCGCTGCGCCCCAGAGCCGCGCCATGGACTCGATGTTAAGGATGTACTTATCGATCTTCCAATAATGAAGAGCTAGAAAGAGAGGGAAGAGAGGGAAGAGAGGTAGGCCTGGG